TTTCACGCAGCATACAGCGGTGTTGTGCATTTTGACCAGTTGATGGGAAAAGTATTCTTAAAATGCATTCAAAATTTTGAATAATTTGTAATATATAATTATTCACGGTATTTAGAAGTGCTCACGATAACAATATCGTGCATATTCATTACCGTGATATATCGCATTACCGAATACCGGCACAAGTCTAGGTATGATGCAGTGTTTTGATAATATAATGTACTATAATGCAATGCAATGATAAATGCAATGCAGTATTATCATCCAGCTCGAATCTGCTAAATGCATGTTTCTGCTCCGGTGGTTTGACTGATTTCTGACTCCCTTCTCCCTGTAAAACGCCTGATCCGAGCCCGTATTCACAGAACATTTCAAAAAAAAAAAAAGTGAATATGCATATAAACAGCCTTTTAATTAACCGAGTGGAATAATCATGGCTGATAGTAAGACATGCAAACAGAAAAGAAAACCAAACTGGACGCAAGAACAGCTGTTACTTCTTGACCAACTGGTTAAAGAAAACAAGCATATAATCAAAGGAAAATCTGGAGTAGGGATAACCTCCAAAACCAAAGGCGATACCTTTTTTAAAAGCACATTCTCGTCAGATGTTTCTAATGTTTACGTTCCGAGGCAGATTGCCGGCAATAACAGACATTTTAAGATAGCTTGTGGTTTGATCTTAGTGACTCCTCTTCACTACTCCTAACGTTTCACAGATTTAGGAGCTAGTTTTAGCGCTAAAACGCTTTGTGAAATACTCTTAGAGAAGAAATTTAGGAGTCCTAAATTTAGGACTGACGCCCTAAATTGGAGAGTTATGAGCTACTTTTAGCCTTGAGATGTTTTGTGAATATGGGCCCTGGTTTTCACAGTGATCTTACTTTTGTCTCCCCAGGTGATTATCGAGGTGACGGAGATGCTGCACAACGCCAGTCTGCTGATCGATGACATTGAAGACAGCTCCAAGCTGCGGCGCGGTTTCCCGGTGGCCCACAGCATCTACGGCGTGCCGTCAGTCATCAACTCTGCCAACTACGTCTACTTCCTAGGCCTGGAGAAGGTGCTGACGCTAGAGCACCCCGAGGCCGTGCACGTCTTCACCCGTCAGCTGCTGGAGCTGCACCGCGGCCAGGGTCTGGACATCCACTGGAGGGACACCTACACCTGCCCCAGCGAGGCCGAGTACCGCGGCATGGTGCTGCAGAAAACCGGCGGCCTCTTCGGCCTCGCCGTGGGCCTCATGCAGCTCTTCTCCCACTGGAAACCAGATCTGAAGCCGCTTTTGGACACTCTGGGGCTCTTCTTCCAGATCCGGGACGACTACGCCAACCTGAACTCGACGGAGTACAGCGAAAACAAGAGCTTCTGCGAGGACCTGACGGAGGGCAAGTTCTCCTTCCCCACCATTCACGCCATCTGGTCGCGTCCCGAGAGCACGCAGGTGCAGAACATCCTCCGGCAGCGCACGGAGAACGTGGATATCAAACGCTACTGCGTGGACTATCTGGAGAAGGTGGGCTCGTTTGCTTACACCCGTCACACGCTGCTGGATCTGGAAGCCGAAGCCTATCGGTTGATCGCTGAGCTCGGAGGGAATCCCGAACTGGAGGCTTTGGTGCAGCATCTGAGTCGCATGTATAAAGAGCCCGAGGGCGGAGCTTCAGCCGACCAATCGAAAGAGCCCGGGGGCGGAGCTGCAGCCAGCCACTCGAAAGAGATTGGGGGCGGAGCTGCAGCCGGCCAATCGAAAGAGCTCCGAGGCGGAGCTGCAGGCGGCCAATCAAAACAATTTGACTTTGCACTGTGATGTGAATAAACTGTACTGTTATTTTGACTCCACAGCAGTTGCCTGGAGTCCAAAGTCTGTCGTTTTTGTCTCGTTCACATTTCAAGGCGTTGTAGCTGACATATGACGTGTAACAGGAACTTGACTGGCCTCTTAGTCTGCAATATTTGGTCAATATTTATGTACTGTAATCGGTGGACTGATGCTGCTTGTTTAATTATAAATGATAACCGTAAACAAACAGTCAGATAAAACAAACAGTTAATGTTTAAACCATTTCACCACAAAATCAAAGCAAATACATTATTTTATAATTAAGACAATTTTATGGTTCTTTACTTTTTCTCTTTACTATTTTCATGACAATTATTATTATTACAATTTATTTAAATGAATGTCATTATTATTATTACTACAATATCTGTCAGATGGAACAAACATTTAACTTTTATACAATGTCATTTCACTACAAAATTAAAACAAATTATTTTCATGACAATAACAACAACTAATTTATATAAATTATATTATTATTAAAACAGTAAATATTATTAGAGAAATTATTATTATTATTATATATTTAAACGTCTGTTGTACTGCCTGAATTTGTTTAAATCTGCATATAATATAGGTCACTGTAATAGAGTGAAAATGTAATGATAATCACCAGTGTAAATAATTGAAATGTCAAGGAACACAATAATATGAATTTGGAGGCAGAATATTCTTGGCATGATATTCTCACAGGAAATAATAAAAATAAATAAACGATTAAATTGATTTTGTTTTTTCTTTTTTTTTTGATTTTGGGGTGAAATGTGACTGACGTTTTTTGTGGTGAAATTTATTTCTCATTAAAATTGAACTAAGACATGACTGCCTTTCCCAAAAGGCACAATAGTGATAGTGTCTGAAGCTTGTGCTGTGGTTTTGCGGTGACAGTGACTAGGCCTTACGGTCATCTGTGGACGCTTTAACACTCCTTAAGTCAAGTTGATGTCCTCCACATTTTAGCAGCTCTTGGTTTTTGTGACTGATGTTTACGATGGTCAGAATTACAGACGGATCCGTCACTTGATGCTCAAATACCTCTGAAATAGTGAACTGAGACGAGATCTCACATGTTTGGTGTTTGACAGGTCACTGGGTTTTACCTTTGAACAAATAGACGGTTGTGTGTGCATTTATCAGATTCATTCTGTATATGCAATTTTTGGTTTTGGATGTTTTTTTTTTTAATAACTATTCTATGAATAAACACTCTTTCATACACTTCAGTGTCCTGTGAGTGTGTTTTGTGCTGTTGTTGTTCTTCTCATGAAGAGAAAATGTATATCTTTTGCATGCATGAATAGATTTACTTAGGAATAACGGTGTCTGATCTTTCCTCTTATGAAATCTACAGGATCAACCACTTAGTGGCGCAGAATTACTGTAGAACAGAGCAGGGCAGCGAATAGTTATTTCAAACTGCAATAAGGTTTTATTCATCTCATTAGTTATGCTGGTTTGATCTGTCTTAGCTGTGCCATTTCTGCATGCTATATAAACGCCTTGGAAGATTAATTGTTCTGAACTGTATGAAAAAAAACAGAAACTAGAATGCTATTTAAAGATGAATATGTTGAAAATGAATTTATGTATAATTAAAGATTTGTTCAAGTAACTAACACTTAAAGTGAAGTGTGTTGTCCTTGTGCTTTAGACATGAATGATTCTTCAAATCTGAAGAGCTATAATAGAAATATGATGAAATTATTGAAAAAATAAAATCATATTTTTAAATGTGAAACTAAAAAAAGACAGTAGGTGGCGGTAAATCACTAGTGTCTTAATGAGAGAGTCATTCGAGTTATTAGACCGATTCGTTCAAACACGATTAAATCACTAGTGTCTTAATGAGCGAGTCATTTGAGTTATTAGACCGATTCGTTCAAACACGATTCATTCAGTAACTAAACATCGCTGTTTGCTCTTTTGTTTGTTTGGAACTACTGTCGATGTCGAAATAGAGCAAAAACATACAATATTGTGTCTAAAATATAAGTAGTAATATTAAGCCATTGTGGTAGAGATTTTGCACAACATTTCGATCAACATTTGCAATCCGCGTTGATGTTTGATTCTCTTGCTCGTGCGTTTTTTGCCCAATTGTTTGCATTTTTGGTGCATTTATTTATTTTAAGTAGCCCCAAGCCCCCGTTAATTTCCCACCGAGATTTAAAACGTATTAAATGTAAACAAAATAATAATAATAAAATAAATCACATATAATTAAAGTACAATCAATCGTATCTTACATTTTACAAATAATTTAAAATCTCGGGGGCTTCGTGGTGAAAGTTTCTACTAATGAGGGTGTTTATGATCATGGCGTTTAAGCAGGATTGTCTATTTTCATACCAAACACAATATGATGGTATAATAGTGTTACTTACAGATTTCGAAGCGTCCAGTGATCCGTGAATGATGCAGCTCACCTGAAAACCCATCTGCTGCGTTAGCATTAGCATTAGCTCAGCCGCTTCTCATCTCAGACACACTCAGCCCTCATTATGAATATTGAACATTTTACACATGTGAAATTAAATAATTTGAGGGGTATTGTTGTGTGTGTGACTCGTTAGGCAGCTGCAAATCAGCTTGATGAGTTGATTGATCTGCTAATGAAGCCTGAGATTTCAGCAAACTATTACCTACATTTTCCAGAAGATTCCCTGTTGAAAATGTCAGACCACCCTGTTGAAAAAAACAGCATATGCTGGTTAGGTATGTTTTGACACTGGGATGCTGGTTTATGCTGGTTTAAGCTGGTTTAAACTGGTCCTTTGCTGGTTTAAGCTGGTTTATGCTGGTCCTTTGCCAGCACATGACCAGCATAAACCAGCAAAGGACCAGCTTAAACCAGCAAAGGACCAGCTTAAACCAGCAAAGGACCAGCTTAAACCAGCAAAGGACCAGCTTAAACCAGCAAAGGACCAGCTTAAACCAGCAAAGGACCAGCTTAAACCAGCAAAGGACCAGCTTAAACCAGCAAAGGACCAGCTTAAACCAGCAAAGGACCAGCTTAAACCAGCAAAGGACCAGTTTAAACCAGCGAAGGACCAGCTTAAACCAGCATCCCAGCGTCAAAACATACCTAACCAGCATATGCTGGTTTTTTCAACAGGGTTGTCTCTTACAGAGCAGACAAAGAGATACAGTTGCCCAAATGTGATCCCTCAAGTAGAGACCTTATGACCTCTACCACAAATTAAAAACTTACTGTGTTAGATTTTGTTAATGTCTTTAAAAATACACCCAAAAACCGCCTAGTAACCTCCTAGTGAGGCCTACATACTTGAACATTCAAATGGCTCGGGTATTAAAATTGCATTAGAATTCGAGGCCAGTCTTGGTCAAGCCAACACACTAGTTTGTCTTGAACTTCTAGTTCTTCATTTTAGTTTAATACACTTTCAATGCATTTTTAAATGTTGGAATTTTAAAGCATGCCTGGATCAGTTTTTGAATTAATTATGGGATTATATTTTTGACTCCAGATGGTGGCATTAAACTGAAATGATCTGCATTAAGAGAAACTTGAGGCCTGTGCTGTCAGAACTGCTAAGAATAGTTTCTGGAAGAGCTCTTAGTGCTCATCTCTCCATCCATTCGCTAAAAGCACTGAGAATAACAGGCAGAAACAGATGAATGATTTCACTCGGGTTATTCCGAGGTCGTTTCTTCAGCTCTTGAAGACGTCTTTTTACTTTCCAGATGATTCAGGCAATACCATGAAATGGCAAAAAGGAGATGTGAAAAACAACCAGCCCGAACATCATTTCTCATTTCAGTTTTGTATAATTTCTTGACATCATGTGGAGAGAAACGATGAGAAAGTTTTGCAAATACCAGCGCGCAGCATGAATTATGAGCTCACTGCTGATATTTCTATGTTTGAGGTAAATCTGGATGCAGTGACGCATTAAATATGAAACAAACCACATTACAGCTCTGTAACCTCATATTACCTCCTGCCAAGTGATTTTTTAAAAGTTTAACAGCAACGGTATGAGACACTTGTTCACCAGCCACTTTTTAGTAGCTATCCAAGAATCCTTCAAAATCCAAGAATCGCCAGTTAAACTGTTGACATTTTTAATAAGGCAAGACACTACAGACAAAAAAAAAAACATTGTTTTTCATACAACAGTCAATTTTGGGCTATTGTGCTTCCATAACGTTTCAGACTGGTGAAAAAGAAAACATCCAAAAACACTTTTAAGTGTTTATTTAATTGCACGTTATCTGTTTGTGTCTGTAGATTTCAATTACAATACTCATCTTCAAAGGCTGTTTTATTCCCATCTACTGTATAGTCACAGGTTTTCACAGAGAGGTTTGTTCATATATATAATTTGCCTGAATTTGTTATTGCACATTATTTATTTGCGTCTGAAGATTTCAATTACAATACATATTTTGAAAGACTGTTTTCTCAAAACAATTTTTTTCTCCACTTCAGTAACACTTACATACAACAAAATGTATACCAAAATATAACATTCACTTGATTTTATACATTTCATTCATTAATAAAAAAAATTTCAATTACAATACATAACCTTAAAGCTGTTTTTATTTATTTTATTTAATTAACACTTGCATACACCAGACTTTACGATTTTATTTTCATCTTCAGAATATTCTGAATTGTTTTACAGATGGGTTCGATCATATATCGTTCGCATGATTTTATATACTTGTTGAAATGTATGTTTTTTCTGGCTGTTTACGGAATTTTTAGATTTATGGTGTGATAAAAAAAAGAGAATTCCAAAATTCCAAACCTTTAACTCCAAAATGTCAACAAAATCAAACAAGAACTTTGAACCAGGTTTTTCCAATGCTCAGATTTTTGCTCTAGATATATATGCAAATCAGTGCATACTTAATTAGATAATGCATTATTTGCATATTTAAACAATCAACTGGGAAAGTATGGTGACATCTTCTAGTGACACCTCTCACCTGTAGTGTCATGCCATTAGAAGTTGCGTTATGTTGATTTGTAAGCACAGACACATTTGCAATCCTGTTGTAATGTTTTATTGTTATAAATGAACGTTTCAGTGTAACAATTTTGGCTTGCAGCTAAGATAAAAGCAGTGAAAGGGATTTGCATGCTTTGCGATTTCAAGATCTCTCAGCAACAGAGAACGCAAAGCGGCTGCAAAGTGACAGAAAGATAGGGAACGAGGAAGCACAGGTAAAGCTGCCCTGGCGATTCTCAAACCCTGTGTTAATTTGACATCTGGTGGTGGAGCTACAAAGCCGGCATAAC